TTTTTTTTTTTTTTTTGGATTAATTTAATTTGAATATTGCTCTAAATTATCATGTTGAGTCAGACTTGCGGTAGCTTATTACTGGATCCGGATCTTCATTGATGTCTGATTTAGCAGGGTGATTAGTTAAAGTTTTTCCACTGACGACATTTGTGACGCAATGACTGTCAAAACTTTCTTATTAATACGCAAATGTGAACAGCAAAACTGTTGATAGCAGTTGAAAAACCGGTGGTGGGACCGCGGTTTTCAGAGTTGCCTCTGTTTGGCACCACTAGGGTTTCAGTTTTAGCTGGTATTTTCTGCCATTCTTTTCGAACTCATTGTTTTTGTTTAGCAAAAGTTACAGGGTCGTTTGCTCAATTTATTGTTCAAAATTATAGTTGGACACTTTTTTATGCTTTCTAAATTAAATTATGAACAGAAAAATAAACAAGCATAGATCTTTCAAAAACTTTGAAGCAGTATCATTTTTGTCTTTGCTTTTTTTCCTAAATCTTCTTTTGGTTTGTCTTCATTGTTCTTTATAAAGCGTTTTAAGAACTTTTTCATCGAGTCTTTGCAAAGCAGCTGGTCAACAATCCGGAACCTGTCAAGATTTGCTAAGAAAGATATTTTTTTGGGAACAAAAACAAGGTTTGATTTATCTTTTTTCTTGTTCGTTGAGAATTTTCACTGCTAATCTTTGTTAACAAGAGTAAAAAAAGAAGAAGAGTTGTTGCCTAAAAAAGCGTTTAATTTGGCGAAGAAGAAAGGAAATTTATGGAAGATAAAAAAACTGGAGAATGGATCAGATCATTGTCTTGGTCTGGTCAGTATTGGGAAAAAAAATTGTCAGAATATCTGGACACTACAACATGCATATATTTGTTTGAATTTGTTTGTAAGAGTAATACGTGTTTTCAAACTCTAGTAAGGCTTCTCGTGTTCTACACTAAATTTTACTGTGAAGAAAACGTTTGTAAAGAACAGTAAAGGATAAAGACAGAAACATTATTAAAAAATTAAGAGCTTAACCAAATGACAATGATGTGGACGGTAGAAAGCAAAAAAAAAAAATTTTTCTGTCAAATGTGGAGATCATTTTTCCGAGAAAATTTTACTGAACACAAAAAAAATGTTCACTGTATAATAGAGAGTGAAAAATAAAAAAACGTGTCAGATAAATGAAGATGTTAGCGATAAGAACAAAAAAGAATTTATTTGTAGAAATAACTTTGATTTTTAAGTGCAGTTAGGAGAAAAAAATAATTTTTTTTTTTTGGTTGACTGAATTTAATTTCAATTAAATCAAAAGAAATATATCTCTCAAACTGTACTGCTTTACCTTCGCCAAAAAATTAGACAAAAAGCTTTTTCCTCAATTAGTTTGTTACTTTTCTTAAATACTGCTTATCTGTTTTATTGCTGTCATTGCTGCAAAAAAGAAATCTTATGATCAAACTATGACAAAATTATTTGAAACTTTCAAGATAAACCTTTGTTGACCAATTTGCTATGAGGTCTTCCTTCACCCTGCTGAAGTTTTGTCACATTTAAAAATAAATGTTTCTCTTTTCTTTTTTTTTTCTATTCCATTCCGGCTCCCATTCTCACCAAACTGGGAAATCATCAGAAATCAAAAAGTGTTTAAACAATGGTCAGAGTTTTCTTTCATGAAAATGCAGTCAAAAACGTCTGTTTTTGCCTTTTTGTTTGTATTGAGTCCTAAAAGCTGTAATGGCATAAGGAAAGATAGCAAAACGGAATTGCTGTTCATTCTGATGAAGAAACTGTATTGAAGGAAATTTGGAAAGCATAGATTAGTTGAATAGTAAATAGTGAAAAATACAAAAATACATTTA